AAAAAAAAAAAAAAAAAAAAGATTGCTTATAGAAATAATGGGAAGAAAGTGTAGAAGGATATGTTGATGGTAAAATAGAAACATTATAAGATACAATGTGAAAGGACAAGCACTAGGGAAGACCAGGACATGAGTGAACTATTTTACAGTGGGCTCTTAGCTATGATGTCCATGCTTAATAAGTGTTAATTGGTCAATAAACTTCTTCAGTGTAAATTCGTCACTATTTCTAGAGAAATACAATAGTACAAGAGAATCCAAAATTGAGTAAGTCTAGTAGCAAACAAGGGCTTTTTGTTATGTAGCCCCATGTCTTAGAATATAATTACACACAATATATTTATATTATTTACATTAAGTGATTTTGACAAAAAATACTTTATTTTATGCTTTCACATGGTGGTATAAATTCTGTACAATATTTATAGCTACTTCCCAGAAATTCTTGGTTCTAAAATATAAAAGTTACTTGGCCTAGTATTTTTAAAAATGACTACTCATGCTTTAAATAGTTTTTAAGATAGTTTAAAAACAATTGTGATTATGAAATAACTGATTTTAATTTATGCCTACCTCAAATACAATCTAAAAGTTTGGTTTAGTTTTTTGTTTTGTTTTAATCAGCACAGTGAAACTTTTAGGCAACCATGAATACTTTGCCTTGTTACAGTATTTCAGTTCCTCTTGTGACCAATGTCGTAGCAGGGGGTTGTAAGGTGACTGGAGATAGGGATGCTATCTTTATTCATGAAAAAGAGTTGTCTGTTCTCTGTGCAAAACTAAATGATTCCTGTGGGAGTCAAATGAGAGAGACTAGCCTGAATCACACTGTGCTTTACTACTGAGGGCTTTGGCACAGACCACCTGGTGTTGTATGTTGTTCTATATCCATTCAGAACCAGGAATCAAAGTGCTCTGTGCTATCCTTATGAATAATCAGACATTAAAACATGCCGCTATCCATAGAGCCTATTATTTTTTTTAAAGTTTTTTACATGAGCATCACAGTATTTTAATAGATTTACTGAGATAATGGCACTGAGATAATGGTTTCCTGGCTATTAGGGAATAATTCGTTTCCTGAATGTGAGATGTTTTGAAAAATATTACTGTTATTGTATAACTAAATATTGTGGAATAATTCTGACTCAAAGCACCTAGTAGGTTAATTCTCAGTATTATAAACGGAGTGCTGATGGGGAAGAATATACTTATCTGCCACAAAGTTTTACATGTATGAATAGCAGTTACCAAGATGGAAAGAAAAGAGAAACTCTCTACTTTTATCTGTACTTTTTCTCACCACTTGAATTCTTTTTAATCTACTTGCTTCTCATGAATACTCTTTTATTAAACCATGACATTTCGAGTTGTTGCACTTTAGTTTTCTTTAGTAAAATTCTCTGCCCTTACCCGGCCCGCAAAAAAAAAAAAAATCTCATCACGTATCTGTGATACTCCTGATTTGTCTTTTGAATGAGTCAAACTTGAGATAATTGTGTAAATGTATTACGAATCAGATAATTTGAAGGTTGATCATCAACCCCTCACTGTCTGGAATGTAGTCAGAGCATGAGTTTGATTCAGTATTTCCTCTGTCACTAGAGGTATGATCTGTCTTCTTGCTGTTCGTCTTGGTAGAAATTTGTTGTCTTTTCTTGCCTAAATTGGAATGTGGAGGAGGAATAGATTTAGGTCTGAAAATAATATAAATGCTTCCTCCAGACTATCAAAAGTTAGAGTTAATTTTGTTTTGGATGTGAATGAGACTGGCAGCACACTAATCTTAAGTTCTCTTCCCAGTGGGTAAACCTCACAAGTGCAACTACTGTGGACGAAGTTACAAGCAGCGCAGTTCACTGGAGGAGCACAAGGAACGCTGCCACAACTATCTCCAGAATGTCAGCATGGAGGCTGCTGGGCAGGTCATGAGTCACCATGGTGGGTAGAAATAGCATTTGTGATTTTCATTCCCCCCTAGACTGCTTTTGTAGCTTTTTATGGATTAAGTGGTTTCCTCTACCCTTCAACATGAAGATAAAAATCTAACTCTGTTTAAAACGATTTTAGATCACATTAACTTAAATGAGTTGACCTTTGGGATACATTGCAAATAGTCTATATTAGATTTTTTGATACTCCCAAATTATTTCTGATCATGTTTCTAAACTAACATAAAAATAGCAGCCAATAATACCATCTTTAATAACAAAGGAGGCATTATTTATTCTTCTCTTTGATTTCTCTAACCAAATAGAGATGTTCCTACATCAGCCTATAGGTTTCCTAAAAGAATAAATTGGTTATTTGCATGTTTTCATCTGTTAGCAAAGTGATCAGTGATATAACTTGATACTTCCCCAATCTGTCTTGTAATTTATCTGAGAAATTACTGATTTTGCTTTCTGTAAGTGTGAGAAACAATCTAGACCAAAATTAGACACCATTTCCCTCCGTATAAAATATCCTCAAAGTAAGACATCTTGATCTCTGCAATACACTGGCAGATAGGAAGGCAGTTCCTAAGGTTTATCAATAATTCTCTATCCTGAAAAGTTAATTTTAATAATTAGCCTTACAAAGGAAGGTAATGAATTTGAATACTTTAGATTTATGGTGTCTATAGTCTTACTACTCCTATTTTTATACTGATTAGTTTCATTATTAATACAAATATCTTACTTTTTAGTATATTTATATCTTTTATTTTGAAAATATTTTGGCCAACATTAAATGGTTTAGTTGGGATTGCTGTAGTCATTTTGAAAATATAAATTCCACTTATTGACTTAGATATAGCTAGGTCAAGGATTATTTGTGGATTTGTTTGTTTTATATGGTACAAACTGTGGAACTGTTGATTGCACAGCTAGTGATTATTATTGAGTTGGAAATTTTTAAAATTTAAAATATTGTTATTTGAAAAATTGAAGGATTTCCTTCTTTTGATGATAGTTTCTATAATTTAACACATTGACTGCCTTGTGAGTTGTATTTAACTCAGGCTAGTTTTGAGCCCAGGGCCACGTGAAGCAAAACCCTGCAGCTGGTTCATGAAAATCTTACTTGTTGATGTTCTTATTGTTACAATTAATATTGACAATTTAATTCTAAAATCATGGATTGTGTTGCATATAACTCATGTACAGAAAGTAAAAAGTAACAAATTAGAAAGGATCATTTTGTTTTAATAAAACACCATGGCCCCAGGGGAAAAAAGTTTTTTTCTCTAGTGTGGCAGTCAACGTGTTAAAGAATCTGATTTGATCATATTCATCATTTATTTTAATATTGTTATCATTAACATTTTTACAAACTTGTCTGTGTTTCATGTCTTAATGAATGTGATATTGGAAGCTTGCATTAATTACCTGGGCTTATGAGGGTAGCATAGGATTCAGAGGATAAAGATTGTAAAATGGTGGGTCTCGGAGTCCAACAAAACTGTTCTCGCTACATGGTGTCTTAATGTGTCACTCGTAGGCATTGTGTGAGAATTAAACGTGATTGGGTAACAAATACCTAAAAAATGGTTCTTTTTACTATTATATTTCAGGGCATTAAATAACTAAAAACAGTAAATGTGCCATCCTCTATAAAGTTGTTACTTACCAGGGTTAACTTAAACATTAGAGGCTTCATTTGATCCAAACAACAGGGATTAGTAAAAATTGCACAGATTGGGCAGACATAAAGAACATATACTCTAGGAAAAGAGGAGGCTTGCAAATGTAAAAAACAAATTCCTTGATGTTGAGCATTACTGGAGTTAAAGGAGTGGTAGGAAATGAGAGTGAAATAATAGGTTGCAATGCAAAGGAAGAGCTTTTTATTGCCACTCTAGTGTTTGAATTTCACAGTGTAACTGATGGGAGCCACTGGGTTAATCAAATTTGTGTCTTCCAAAGAAAAATGTCACCAATGTAGAATATAGGATAGATGCCTGACTGGGCAGGAGGTGGCATGTGAGGAGAGACTGGTAGTGAGAATGCCAAGAAAAGGATGAAAAGGCAGTCACAGGATGAGAGAACAAGAGGAAACACCGAAGACATATTTAGGAGGTAGAATAAAAAGTTCTTAGAAATGTTTACTGAGTTTGAGGAAAGGGGAGGACTTTCATGACTTGTAGTTTTGGAAATAAAGATAACAATGAATTGGATTTTATGGCAGATTATTTATCTTATTTGAATGTTATATTTATGCTCATTTTTCAAGTCTGTTCAGCTTGAAGAAAAAGCTTTAAAAACAAAACTATGTAATTACCTTTTCCCCCAAGCCTGAAGAAAAAAATGAAAGTGTGAACCAGGAAGATAGCCGACTTTAAAGCTACATACCGTTAGGTTTGTGCTTTGAATTATTTGGGAAAGAGAGGTTCTTTATTGCAAGTATGGAGGCATAACTGTGTACCTGCAAACTTCCTAGTAAGCTTTTTTGAATTATTTCCATTCCTTCATTAATTCACTCAGTAAATATCAATTGAATATATTTGTCTCATATCATAAAAGGTTCTGTAGACAAAAAGTCAAATAAAATGCATTTCCTAAGGTTATTTACCAACCACTATAAGAAATATTAATAGAACAGTAAACCAACAATTAGAGCACTGTGTGATAAGCATTATGGCGGCATAGCGGATGGATATCTAAATCAGCTGGGATTCTAGGAGGAATTTCCAGAGAAATTTGTGTTTGAGCTCAGTTTTGAAAGGCAAAATAGTAAGCTATTAAGTGTAGAACATGCAGAGAGAACAGCATGGGTGAAGAAACAGAAGTCTAGAAGAGCGTGGAGAGTTAAGGACCTACAAGTAGCTTTGTATAATGGGAGCTCAGTTTGTAAGGACAAGAGAAATTGGAAGGTGATGAGGCTAGATAAACAGGCTCTGGATAGAACATCAAGGGCCTATTGTGCTAAGCAAAGAATTTTGTACTTTATCCTAAAAAAATAGGACACTTAGAATTTATTGCTAGAAATGTGGGAGAGAGATCAGAGGAGTCAACAAACAGTTAGGAAAATGTTGCAGTGGTCAAGGTGGGCTTAGTAGCCTGGAATATATAGAACATTAGCTAACTGAGAGCAACTCCCTATATAGAAGTTAAAACGCTGGTACTTTCATGTGTGTGTTTGTAAGAAGATGGGGTAGGGAAGAGGACAAGCAGGAGACTGGGTGAAAGGAAAAAATCTAGGATTTACCATAGATATCTAGCATGGATGATGGAGTAGGTAGTGGTGCCATTCATAATTATTAATAGATGGGAATTGTGAAAATAGGAGAAAGTTTAGGGAGGAAAATAGAGATTTTCGGTTTTGAACACATTGATAACTCTTACATGCCTGTGAATTAGCCAAGTAGAACTCTCTAGGAGGAAGTTGTACAGATCTCGAGCTCTTGAGAGAGGTCTGGGTAGGAAATAACAATGTGTGAACCATCATTATATATGTAGTAGCCTGAAGTAGTAGGTTTTAATAGAGTACTATGGATAAGTATAGGTTGAGACATCTAGAAGGTCAAGAACACACCAGGAGGAAAAAAAAAGTCATGACACTGAGTAAGAGCAGAATAGGAACATGGAAAGAGTGATTTCACAGAGGCCAAAGCAAGTATCAGCACCGTCAAATGCTGTCAAGAAAATAACTAAGAAAACGGAGAATTTTTATTTTTTTAAGATTCGACAACATGGAGAAAGTTAGTGACAATATTAAAAATGTGTTATTTTGCCTTCCCAACATTCCTTCCTCCTCCTCCTGCTAATAAGCACACCATTTTCCTTTAGACTTCCTCCCATTTTTTGCAGCCATGGTCCCACTGGGCCATCAGTCCAGGTACCCTGACCTTTCCTGGCCAGGGGGTAGACATGTGTCCTAATCTAGGCCCCTCAGACTGTTTCTTCCTGGAATTTGAATTTTGTGTGGCTTGGTTTAAAAAAAAAAAAAACTATATTGGTAATACTCTTATGGTTTTGCTTTTATGGTTTATCAATGTGATGAAACAATGATATAATACAAGTATAAATATATTTTTGTCCTGGTTATAACTTCAGAAATAAGGTCAACAAAGATGTTTGGTTATAAAGTTTGCTCAAACAAGTGAAGGTAGCATATTGGTTTGTTTTTAGCCCAGATAAATGTCTCGCTATGTGATTAAAGCACTATTGAGATCTATAGAGAATTTGTGTTTCAAGCAGTGTGTTAATATATTATTCAGAAACATTTTCATGTGAGTTACACCCAGATCTACGAAAGCAAAAAATTCAGGTTAGTTATATTATTGAGGGAAAATGTATCAAGTCTTTTCCCAATGGCAGACCTTATATATTGGTCAAACTGGTTTATAAAAAGTCAGTACTCAAAATACATCTACAAAGAATAGTACAGCACAGTGGTTAAGAGCCCAGGCTCTGGAACCAGACTTTCTTGTGGTAACATTCCCTACTAACTGGATGTAAACCCTAAGAAAATTACTTAACATCTTGGGAGTCTTTGTTTCTTCATCCATAAAGTGAAGATGGTGATAGCACCTCTTCCATGGGGTTGTTGAAAGAATTAAATGCAAAGCCTTAAAACAATACTTAGCACATAGCCTATATCATTTATTATTATTGCTGATATTGTAAAAATAAGATCAATTTTTGACATGCAAAGGGCTTTTGTAAAGTAGAAGTTAGAGCAGAACTCTGCCAAAGTCATCATTTTTAGTTCACATGAGCTTCATTGAACGTGGGACAAATCATCTGAATTGAGGTGGATGTGGCATGGGACAGTTCCCACACTCAGGTTTCGTTTTGAGTGTTAATTGTGTGCAAATATCAAAATTCAGGGTGAGACTTAGAGCAAAACTGCCAAGTTTTAGACTACTCATTGCAGAAATAATTAGCATATTCAATCTTGGGGGCAAACCCTGGTAACCAGTTTTGCTGGGTTTTTTAGCAAAATTTACAACAACA